ATACAACTGGATGGGGCTCCAGCTCACTACGGAAGAGTAGTTAGAGAGTGGCTGAACACTAATTTTCCGCGTCGTTGGATTGGTCGATTAGGTCATATTGCTTGGCCTCCCAGGTCGCCCGACTTGAATCCCTTGGATTTTTATTTTTGGGGTACTATAAAAGATAAAGTCTACGCGACACCAGTCCAAACAAGGGAGGAACTTATCATTCGCATCCAACAAGCCTGCATTGAAATGAGGAATGATCGCAACCAAATATTTAGAGCAACATCAGCATTAGTTCGGCGATGTAGGAAGTGTGTAGAGGTTGAAGGATCTCATTTTGAACACTTACTCTAAGCTTTATTAGTAATTATCTTCAGGTCTGTATTATTACTTGTCATTTATTGTTTACATATTTAGATTTAATTATTTGCGTTAGTAATATTCTTTTATTATGTCTGTAACTTAAAGTTTTTTTAATGTTTAGGGTGGATTTAAAATCATAAAGTAAATTTAAAAAACACATGTTATTTGTTTTAAGAGCTTACTTAACTTTAGGATGATACGATTTTAAAAATTTTCGAAATGGTAAAATGTATGTATGAACCATTTAACCAACTTTAAAACCTTAAAACAACTTGATCCTCTACCTTCTGTATCGATCCCCGCTACTGATCCAAATTCGACTCATGTTTAAAAACATTGCAATTTTAGTACAATTTATTGCATTTTTAACGAATTTTGTCCAAGAATAAAATTTAAGCGAAACAGGCAAAATTAACATGTTTTAGAACGGATATGCTTATTTATCTCGAAAACGGTTGTTTTCTCGAACAAAATTGAAAAGCAAAAAAACCCTCTAAATTGAACTAGCCACCCAATTTGCTAACTGGAAGATGTCAGAGGCGTACTACGAAAAAGTTTGGGGGGGATAAAGAAGCCTCCACCCCCAAAAACGTATCACCCTGTAGATTTTAAAAATATTTAAAATGCTTGAAATGATTTCCTTATAGGAAGTATTAACCACATCAAATTTTAAATTGATATTTTGAAAAGTGAGCGAGATATTTTAATTAATAGAAAAAAATAAATAAACTTTGACCCCCTGTAGCTCCGCTACTGATCGAGATCGGACTCATGTTTATATAAACTTTTTTGCTTAAAATGATAAGATCTATCACCCATTTCAGTTTGTGCCTTAAAACCTGAATCACCCTGTATAATAAATTACATTTAAAATAAATAGTTTATGAGAAAAATGGAATTTTTGTAGGAACAAGGGTGCCAGACCTGAACTGATCCCCTCGTCCCTTCATAATGTATAGAGAAATTATTCAATTTGTAAAACCCTTAAAAGCGTACTTCATTGGTTCCCTTGACAGGCAATGATTTATTACTTTGCATCGAATATGATCCTACTATAGGGCTATAGTAAAAGATTATCATACCTTTATATTTATAAGTGGAATCAAAATTAAAGTTCTTTGTATAACTTCGTACAGCGATTTTCGGAATGTCAAAACGAGGATTCAACATTGTGTGAAATTTGTTGTGTAAAAAGTATTTATAAGATGTAAAATGATTTGTGTTGTGTTAAAAAACCTTCTAGTCATATAAAACTGTATTCAAATCCCAATTTACGTTCCAAGTAGTGTATAAGCGGTATTAGTTGTCAAAAAACGGTGGACCTGAAAATATTTCAGTTATTAGTTAATTCAAAAAGGAAAAGATAGTTCAGAATAGTGAAAATAAGGAAATATCAATGTCGTGGGACAGTATTGCAAAGATAGAATTAAGCTAAATAGCACAGTTTGGTTAAATTTTGCAAAAATAAAAAAAATGTAGAATGTTTGAAAAAGAACGTAGAAGAAAGATATAGATAGGTATCGTTCGGTAGCCGTACGGTTTAAGGCGTCAATACTTAAATCGATGTGTGCTAATTCTGTCCGGGTTCGATTCCCGCGGCCGGTAGACCGTAGATTAGCTATGCTTGTACGGAGGATTGGCGCCCTCTGTGCAGGTATGGTAGGGTGGAAGAATGTTGGCTTGGGTCAATGTGAGAGATTGACACCGGTTGGCATTTGACCACCCTCCCTAATTAATGAGGTTTTCCAGGTTTCCCTCATTCCAGCACTGAATGGTGGTTAGGACCTACCAACATAAGTCGTTCCTGGGCGCAAATGCGGCCTGCCTAATAATAATAATATATCTTTTTTTCTTTTTGACTGTTATAACTGTAATAGAAAAACGAGTAGAATTGGATTTGTATAATAAATTGAACACTTAAGAAGCGGCGAATAAAACTTATTTACATTTTATACCGTGCATTCATATGACAGGAAGAATTTGTTCTTCCAGTTTATCCGTACCAGCACCTCTTTTACAGCGACAACCCCGATGATTATTACATGAAACTTTTATTACACTTTTATGAGCTCTCGTCTCCTTTCACGCTGACGCAGCGAGTGCAATACATAGGCGCGCCAAGTTTGTCTAAACAGGCAAGCGTTATATGACTCTATTTACGATAGCAATTCGCATGAACTCTCTTCAAACTAGGAAATTTTATTGATTTAATTTTCCTGCACATTGAGGCTTTGCCAATGCACTGAATTAAAATCATTAAAATTAATCGAT